GTTGAAATATCTTCTGCGTTGCTTAACTTCTGTCATCTCACACTTTTCCTTGGAGCTATTGTCTGTAAATATATAATAATTTATATATGGCATAACACATAGTTAAATTATTATATTTTTACAGGCGAACTAAGTTCTTTGAAGTTTGGATCTTATTGAGCACTAATTTTAAAAAATCATTATTTTAACGTTTTCGATTTTGCTGACATTTTTAAAAAACGTCAGCTTCCTTAAAAATCATTATTTTAACGTTTTCGATTTAGCTGACATTTTTTCAAAAAAGGTACACAATTTGCTCTTGAATAAACTCAGTAAGTGCACTCATATGAGAATATAAAAAAATTATGTCACACAGAAGTGAGTATGTTCTTAATATTCTCATGAGTATATTCAGTAAGTGAACTCATATGAGTGAATTCACATGAGTATGTTCTTAATATTCTCAAGAATATACTTATTGAATGCACTCACGTGAGCTTATAAAGTTTTTGTAAAAAAATAAAGTGAGTACATTCGTAATGAACTCCTGAGCATGCTCAGTTGAATGAGCTTGCATGAGTATAATTTTTGAGTAGACTCACTTATATGCTCACTTTTCTGAGCATGCTCTTTGTATGTTCGGGAGCCAAAACGTAAATTCTCAACCATCAATACCTGCAAAAACATTCAAAAAAAGGAAAAGAAAAGAGAAAAAGAATTTCGCCAATGCCACAACGTACTGATTTATTTCATTCGACGATATTATTTTCAAACGACCTTGAAGATATCCACCTTTCAACTATAAAAATATTAATCTCGAAAAAAGATAATGATGAGAGAGTGTGAGAGAGGAAAATGAAAGGAAAACAGATCCAATAATGTGAAGATGATAGAAGAGATTTTTATATTTTTTTTTGAAGGAAAAATATTTTCTTTTCATTTATTTTTTTACGTTTTATAATATTACAGAAATATGGAAATTTTCGTAATATTTTTTTTCTGTGGCAATAAGGATTTTAAGGTCAAATTATATCTTTTTGTGTCTATGACGAATTTATATTTGAATATAAGATCAAGAAGAAGTAACTTTAATAAGATTTATGGTAATGCATTCTGAGAAAAGGTTTACGATTGTATTTGATTGGGATTTGAAGATTATTTACTATTAGAAGAGTCGGTTACTTATACTCTTAAGGGTCGTTCACTTATGACGTCCAAAATTAACGGTCATTTTTCAAAAAAGAACAATTGAATTCCTGTAGTTTCTATCTTGGACGTCATAAGAGTACGGCCCTTATAGCCTCCTTCTTAAATAGAATCACAAGTTCATGGCCATCATAAACTAACCGTCAAAAAAGAAGACAGCAACGAAAAATGTGCGACTTAATATCTCAGAACTTGTCATTTTAATAAAGAAAAAATAAAATAATCAGCAAACACTGCAGCGGAAGAGGTTTTACGGCGGAAGAACATATGCGCCACACACATGAATCTACTTAGGTTTGTTCTGTCTTTTATGATGATAATCAGTATTTCTTTTGCCAGATGTATGACGACGACAACGAATGCTCATTTGCGAAATAAGGAAAAGAAGTTCTCTCATGTGGATAGTTTTTTATCTTGTCGTTTTCCTTCTTTTAATTTTTATTTTATTTATGGGATTTGGTGAAATTATTGAAGTTTATAGAAGTAGGTCGAGAACTTCCATGGTTTATGAAACCAAAAATGGCAACTTCGTCAATGGCCTTAATAACTCATAAAAATTGATGAATAAAAATTTTGAATATTTCCTTTAATTAATTAAACAATGAAGAAGGATTGAGATGAAAATCTTTAATTATTATAATCATTCAGCATAAACAATTGAAATCTAATAAGCATGTTAAACATCCATTGGAACATGATTTAAATGCTATATACACATATGATAGTCATCAAATGAGCGATTAGCATTTGGAACAGTAGTAAAATTTATCGAAACGATTAATCATCATCTGCTAATTGAAGTCATTTGGTATGGAATGGGAATATAATGAACGAATCAGAGAAAAAATAACGTCTTATAGAAGTGAGGCATTGTGTGTGGATTATTCATATTTAATATCGTTGGTGCAGGGGTGAATTTAGGTTATTATGATGACTAGCTTTCCTGGATTTTACTTTATTATATCACTACATTTACTCCTCCTCGTACCCAAGCTACAACCCTATCCTAGACGTATGCTAGTAGTGTAAATACATTATTCTCGGATACCTAAGAAAGGATGAAAGATTTTCCTTTATTACATTTTTATTATTTGCCATTTCCATGTTGTTATTGCTAATGTATGTATGTGTGTCACAACTCACATTGTTTATTGTCATAATTTGCTGTTAACAACTGTCACAAATTTTATTCTTAGTCATCGTATTTCAAATGAACTGTGTTGACTTCAGCCGAAAAAAAATTGTGATGTTTTCACTGTGACCTTGAAAAATGTGTTTTTTGCTGAGACATTCTGAGGAGTGCATTGATTTTTCTGAGAACTTTTGGGACTTTTGTGGGAAAATTTTGACATTTTCCGAATATTTAAGGATATTTTTTAGTGGAAGAGGAACAAATCGAAAGAATAAGGTGCGTTGCTAGGCTCAGCAGGGGGGATTTGGATTTTCAACAGAATTTTCTTTATTTGCTAGGGTTTTTGTGAATAAATCCTGAAAATCCAACCAACCTCCCAATTTTTCCATACAAAATAAATTTTGTCCCCTCGTCCCACTTCAAGTTCCTAGTTGCGTCCCTGCTAAATAGATCCACTGATTTTCTGTTGGAGTGGATTCTTATCTGAAAAAAAAATTATTGAAATTTTTTTTTTTTTCAAAAAAATTCTTACTTTGAGAAAACTCTTGGTTTAGGAAATTAAAGTTCTTTTACTAGGATTTGAACCTTTGTTAAAATTTTAGACTGTCAAATTTTTCTTTATTTGTATTTTTAATAAATGGCAGAAACTGGAATATATTCATTTAGGACATTTTGATTTATTGAATATTTTTAAAAATTAATTTAATGTTTTTATTAATTTTACAATATAACCTAATGCAAATATTTCCAAAGATTTCAAAAAAACAAAATATGTCTCGTAATTAGCTTTGTCAAACCTTCCACAAAACCATAAATTAATTATTATTATGAATCTCTCAAAATCAAATTTATAATTCAATGTTCAAATCCTATATTGCATAATTATTTACACAAATCCAACTCTTAATAAAACTCAAATCAATTCCGCACACAAAATTCCAATATTTAATGAAAATTCCATTAATTTAATCTAAATATGATCGAAGTTTTCTGATAAATAAACAGTTCCGTTTGAAATGTGTTTATATAATTCATAAAGCAATATCAAACATGCATTTAATCATTGTTTATGTTATAGTCGACTCGGAGCAACTACGAAAGATGGTGAAAGTATGAAATTATATTCGATAAAATCATACATAGTGTTTAGTGGGAAGGCAGAACGAGGCATAAAAATTATTATTATTGTTTGGAACATATGAAATGTACTCATGGCGCTTATATAAGAAAGCGCGTGCTGAAATAAATTAAAAACAAGAAAATATGTTTGTAAAACTTTTTTTCGATGCTTAAAAGTATTTACAGGATAGAATTTTGATGGAAAATTGTCAGTAAATGATGAAAGGTTTATTAGGAGAGGCGAAAGTATTTGATGATCAAATTTTGAATGTTTAGCGATGGTTTCTAAATTAACACTTATTTTAAATAGCTTTTAGGGATTATTTAAAAGGAATGGCAGGTTTTAAGGGCTACTCGAGATGCCCTGCACCAGCTTTCGACCCTATCCTAATTTTTAATTACTAGGTAATTACGAGTAGCCCTAGAAACTAGGCCATGTACTATGGAATGGAAAAAATAGCTCTTGCTTGTACTAAAAGCAACTGCTTTGATTTATATTTTAGATTTTCGCAAAAATAGTTCAGACCAGCCCAAATAAGAGAATTTTATTTTATTTTGAAAAAGAATAATGCTACGGTATGAACTAGAATCAATACACTATAAGTTATACCAAGCATTTGTTCTTGAGGGTATACTCTAGAGAAAGGAAGAAAAAGAGGAGGTTCGATTTATAATCAAAAAGTATGATGCTGCACAACCAAGATTCTGTAATATCACTGAATGTCCCGAATATCCTTTAATATCCCTTAATATCCCTAATTCTTAATATCCCTAAAATTCTTTGATGTCCCTATGGTCCTCAAAAACCCAAATATTCACCATGTCCCAAAATATCCCGAATATCCTTTAATATCCCTTAATATCACTAATTCTTAATATCCCTAAAATTCTTTGATGTCCCTATGGTCCTTAAAAACCCAAATATTCACCATGTCCCAAAATATCCCGAATATCCTTTAATATCCCTTAAAGTCTCTGATATCTCTCTGGTCCCCAATAATGCAAACATCTTCAATTTCCAAAAATATCCCTACTATCCTTTATTATCCTTAATGCCCATAATATCCCCTAAATTCTTAAAACATCGAAACATCTCTCATGTCCAGAAATTAAAATCAATTAATCACATTTGCAACAGCATTAGCGAAAATCCTTCAACCTATAAGAATCATTAACACGAGCCGAAAAAGAATCCTAGAACTTTCAACAGAATATATTCAATAAATTACAAGTAATGAGTATATTCTGTAAGATAAATATCAAACAATCAAATCAAACAAATACCATAAAACAGATATATTGACCAGCACGGTACATTAATTTTTACTTCCATCGAATCATTTGCTGAGCAAAAGAAGAAGAAGAAAAAAGAAGAAGAAAAATCAATTAATGATGATTATACAGGAAAGTGACACAGCCAGAAAATGTTTACAGTATTTGCTATTCTCCACCTACATACATACTAATAATCAACATTCATCAAATATAAAAAAAAAACTTTGAGAATTCAAACGTAATAATTTCTTGTTCCTTTTATTTCCATGATAAAATCACATAAATATAGATGACAGCAGTCCACAGCTACGAAATTATCCAGTCATTGTTTTTCTGCATGAATCATTCGAATGGAACTCGGGCAATCCTTATGATGGCTCAATTTTAGCTAGCTATGGGCAAGTTATTGTTATCACATTAAACTATCGACTCGGAGCCTTGGGTAAGATTTGTTTTGCTTAACTAGTCAAATTGAATGGTTTTGGTGGAGATTAAAGGATTTGTGCTGGGTTTGTTGCTTTCATGATGTCTTTGACTATTCAGTGACCTAGTAAGCGATTCTAAGTCCAAACCTTCACCTACCCGTACTTCCTGTGTACACACTAAGGTACATCGTAGGATCATCAAGGGTTGCGGAACTGATTAAAATTGATCAAAATCTAAACTACTAGTTCGCACCCTTGAGGGTTATTGTAAGATAGGACTAAGGTGAGTCGTATTTCTTGAACCTTATGCCAAGACAGGGGCGTAGCCAGGAATTTGAAAAGAAGAGGTCAAAAACCGATGTCTATGACTTTTGGTTGTTAAAAACAAGGCAACAGCTAGACTATAGTGTTGTACCACTCGGTATGCATATCCCAAAGACAAACTTTAATAAGATAATCCAGTATACAGCATCATCCTATCATAATAAATACCAAAACCATCTCAACCCTTTCACGCCCTCCCATCCTCAAATTTTATTTGAAATATCTTCGATTTCTCATTAAAGGTTTCCTCAAGCCGGGATTAAATGATCAAACTGTAGCAAATTTTGGCCTTCTCGATATCATTGCTGCACTCCAGTGGATAAAGGAGAATATCGAATCATTTGGTGGCAATAAAAATTCAGTAACCCTTTTAGGCTATAATCATGGAGCTATTTTTGCAAATTTCCTCATGATTTCACCCGTTGCGAAAGGTTTATTTCATCGAACAATTCTAATGTCCGGATCAGCTCTTGCAGATTGGGCATTAAATTATAATCCACAACAGATTACATTACAAGTTGCGAGAAAGCTTAATTGTCCCATTGAAGATACACAATTAGGCGATTGCTTGCGTGCAAAATCATATCGAGAGATTATGAACGTTAGTGTGACAGCACCTGAATTTACAACTATTTTTGGACCGATTGTTGATGGTCTAGTGGTGCCGAGTGATCCGCATCAAGGTGAGTTGAGGGGGTGTAATGGCTTGGTGTAAATTTTCTTATATGATTATTTGAATGGTGAAATTTTTGAAAATTATGATGCGTATTTTAAAAATTGTGAGTTTCTGAAAAATATGGTGAGTTTCTAAAAATGTGATGAGTTCTTGGAAAATGTGGTGAATTTCTGAAAAATGTGGTGGGTTCCTAAGAAAATGTGGTGATTTTCTGGAAAAATGTGGTGAGTTCTTGGAAAATGTGGTGAGTTTCTAAAAAAATGTGGTGAGTTTCTTGAAAAATATGGTGAATTTCTGAAAAAAATGTGGTGAATTGCTAAGAAAACTGTGGTGAGTTTCTGGAAAACTGTGGTGAGTTTCTTGGAAAATGTGGTGAGTTTCTGAAAATCTGGTTAGTTCTTGAAAAATGTGGTGAATTTCTGAAAAATGTGGTGATTTTCTGGAAAATGTGATGAGTTCTTGTGAAAATGAGGTGAGTTTTTTGGAAAATGTGGTGAATTTCTGAAAAAATGTGTTGAATTGCTAAGAAAATGTGGTGAGTTTCTGGGAAACTGTGGTGAGTTTCTTGGAAAATGTGGTGAGTTTCTGAAAATGTGGTGAGTTCTTGGAAAATGTGGTGATTTTCTGGAAAAATGTGATGAGTTCTTGTGAAAATGAGGTGAGTTTTTTGGAAAATGTGGTGAATTCCTGAAAAAATGTGGTAAATTGCTAAGAAAACTGTGGTGAGTTTCTTGGAAAATGTGGTGCTTTTCTGGAAAAACATGTAAAACGTGAAACTTTAAAAAAGTAATTAAAAACTTACATCAAGCATAAATCCCCCCATTCATGCGTCATTACAGATGAAATCTCACTTTCGTCACAGAAAATTAAAGATTTTATGCAGCATTTTCCATGCTGAAAAGTTTTTTATTAATTTTCTAGACGATTACAACTACAATGTTAATCCACAAATCAATTCTATTCTAACATTTTTCTTTCAGTCATGGCACACAGTGAATCATTCGGACAGTTTGACTTACTTCTTGGTATGTCTGAGCTCGAGTCATTTAATATTCTGGGACGCGATGCCATAAATAATGGAATCGCTCAAGTCGACCGTGACCATAATATAAGAAAATATTTGGCAAATCGCTTCGATAAGCGTCTTGAAGTCGCATTTCTATCAACATTGAAAGAGTACAGCAATACATTTTTAAAGTCAAAATCGATGTCATTTCATGATCATCGTGATATGTTGTTGGAAATTCTATCGGATGCAAGAGTAACCGCTCCATTGAGTAAGTATGCTGTGCATTTTAATTCTTATTGATTATTTTTGTATCTCTATTCCGCTCAACATTCTTTGTCTATTTTCATATTAATCCACAAAACGATAACTATTCACGCAACATAATAAACAGTACAAACAGGAATTTATCTATCGAGACGTAATCCAAAATGCTACATGTACGTATTTGCTCATAATGCCGAAGCGGGTGAACACGCAACGATATCACAATCAATTCATGGAGAGGATTTGCCATTTGTTTTTGGTGCGCCATTGGGTAATGCGGGTCCATTTCAAACATCATATAATGCGGAAGAGCGTCTGTTATCAGAAGCAGTCATGAGATATTTTTCGAATTTTGCTAAAACAGGAAATCCAACTCATCCATGGAATCGACGATTTTATAACTTGAATCCAATTGATTGGGATAAATATGATGTTGATTGGCAAGAGTTTAATGAGATCAATCAGAATTATTTACATTTGAGTACGCAGCCAATTGTAAGTCAACGATATAGACACAAATATACAAAATATTGGAATGATGGACTGATAGAGACAATGCGTAATGCAAATAGTCAATTTGGAGCCATCAACAACAACAATAATAATTATGGTAAAATCTCAAGTGGCCCAGCTACGCCAAAAATCCTCTCATCAATGCCAACAGGCCAGGTAATAAGCATGTATCCAATTAAGGTTGAAATTGAAAATCCACCAACGGAAGATCCCATCAGAGAATTAATGTATCGTTTGCAGCATAACAAAGACCCACAATATGCAATGTCGACACGTGGACAGACTTATGGATCTGCCTTTACATCAACAGCAACAGAATCAATAAATTATGAGCAAATATCAAGCGATAGAAATGATATTTTTCCCACAGAAGCGACCACAATGTACCTGTTGATAAGCATCATCGTGACATTCCTCCTGATCAATCTCGTTGGACTCTTTGTCTATTTATATCGACGACATAAAAGATTGAATCGAAAGTATGACAATAAGAATATTTTTGATGCAGTTAGCGATGACAAACGATCAAAATTTAATGACACTGACGACAGCTTCATTCTTGATATATTGCGGAAATCCAGTAATAATACATACGAGTCAGTAAAACGTCACTCACCGATAAATGGATATGCAATCAATCGACAAACGAGCACCAGTACTGTCGATACTCATTCGAAAGTGAATGATTGGATATCCAATGAAATTACAAATTATAGTCCGAGACTTAATGGCATTTTACATTCACAGCAGAGCTCATTCACATCTGGAAGTGAGAAGAAGAAAGTCAGTGTTGCAATTGATGCAACGCCGCAAGCTAGAAGCAACAGTATCTTGAGACAAGAGCCGATAGAATTAACAAAGCTAAAGTCACTCGACTATGCTGGTAAAATAATTTGCCAGGAGGTAGACATGGATGTAACAATGATTGATGAGATTCCGTTCAGGAAAATTTACAACAATGACAGTATTGACGAGAGAAATGAGAGTGATTCGAGCTCCTGCTCATGCTCAACATTCTCACATTGTGAAGAGTGTGTGAATGATATTAATCGACAGCATTCAATGGAACCGATGAGGATGCCATATCATCTTATGCACGGTAATCCACAGGAAGAGATTATGACTAGCTTTATTGATGTTCCATTGCCAATGCATAACAATATTAATGTAACATGTCGTGATTCTCCAGTATTATCAGGCACACCATTATCACCGGAAGAATCTTTAAAAGCCATTCAGAAAATGAATTGTCCGAAAGTGTTGCCAAACTATCCCGACAATGTGCAACTTAATGATGTCACAAAACGACGCTCATTACAAGTTCCACCACAATATTATCAGATTCATGATGATAATAATGGAAATACATGGGATATGTACGATAATAGACAGTCGTCCTTTACACGACCTGAACCACCGCCAAGATTATCATCGACATTAGGTAGACGACAATCACGTAATGAAGATCGATCAAGTTATTTTATGACAAAGCCGTTAAAGGCTGAGGAGCCACCGCCATCAATGGAGTCATTAATTCCGATTGAAACGACACAATCAACTTTAATAGTTGGTCCAATAATTCCAAAATCTGAAAATATCTACATGACAATGCAACGAAAAAAGTCAATTAGTCGACAAAATTCCACTTCATCTTCATCGTATGATGACAATAAGCCACAACATGATGAGTCATCCAACTATGTTAGTTGTGATGTCGATGTTGATAATAATAAGAAGGATGAAAAATTTGACGAGGCACCATTGTACGCTGAAATAATTAAAAATTCTCGTGTACAAACACCACAAGATGGAATCTACTCGATAACGACGAATGCGAGTTGTGGAAATAAACACCTCGAGCGCAAATCATCAGCAAATTCCCAGGAAAGTAATTCATCGACATCATCCTCATCCGAGTCGAGTACAGGGACAATAAAGAAAATTAATTAAAAGGATTAGTGTACAGGGGATTACTTATTATATATAGATAACATTTTAGATAGCTCGTAGGATATACACAAGCAATGCAAGCGAAAATATGAGGATACCAAATCAGCAATAAACAAATACAATATCTCGTCGACATCCATCTCTCTTGACTCAAATAATGTGGTGGGGTTCGTTTACTTATTAGGGTTGTGAATTAGAGTTGAAGAGATAGAAGGGAAAAGGGTCAATTTGATATTTTGTAACATTTAAAATAAATGTTTACAGTTGTTTCATATTATTACAAGGGGCGCAGGGGATGAGGGGTCAATAAATAAATGACTAGCTGACAAAAACTCTGTCAAAAATATGACAAAAAATAAATTTTGAATTTTTTAAATTTTGAATATTTTAAATTCTGAATTTTTTAAATTTTATAACTTTTGGAAATTTTGAATTTTTTTTGAATTTTATAACTTTTTACATTTTTTAAAATTTTTAAATCTTTTTAAAATTTTGTTCAATATTTTAAAATCTTGATAACTCTAAACCTAGCCAAATAATCTATCTTTTCAAATTACCTAATAAGTTGACGACCCCCAATTACTTTTCACTTTAATTTTAGTTTTTATGAGATTTTTAAACGAGAAAGAGAGAGAGAGAAAGATGGAGATAAATAAATAAGCAGATAGAATAAGACCATAATCCTCCAATGTATAGATTTTTTTAAGTAATTGCTTAATCTCTAGATTTTTTTCCATGAGATTAAATCAAATTGTGAACTTTTTATGACATTTGCTTTTGAAACAAGATTGAAAGAGGAACAAGATTAATCAGACAAGACTTTTTGATCGATACAAACTTTTTAGAAGTTAATTTATAGCTTAATGTAGACATCTAATGTCAATATTATTTTAAAATTTTGAATCAAATTGTATATCCGGATGTATTCCTTCTGATTCTATAGTCTTAGTGTATTTAAAAATACCATTTTGGTTGATGAAAGGTATAGCAATAAATAATGACTTATTAAGCTTATGTTGATAGACTTTACATGCAGCTTTAGTGGAGAACATTTAGTTACAAATCACTACTAAGTATTACACAAATTTTGTTAGATTTTAAGTTTCATTGTAGCTTGACATGACTCATCTTATCATAATTAGCTAAAGTTATCAATCTTAGTATCAAAATAAATATAATCAGAGCAATTATTGTTCTTAAATACAAATTATAGTCAATTATGATACTATGAGTCATGTCCTTAATCCTCTAGACATTAAATACATTTTTAATTCAATTTATTTCATATCAATCAAAACATGTGCAACACACATTGACAAATAATGCAATTTTTATTATTATTCTTATTCGTATCCACAACAAATAGTTTAATGTATATAATTTTTTTAGCAAAAAATACTATTTTCATTTCTCATAAGTGCAATAAATTTTTCTCTTAGTAATTGAAACTTTTTTTATAGGTCAAAAAATGAAGAAATAAAACATATAAATTTTATAATGAAATGCTATAAATTTTCTCATTCACACTTTTGTTTTTCAGCATCGACAAAACAATTTTATGATGGCTTTAAAAAGAATTGAAATTTAAGATTTTTTTATTTTTTGAAAAAAATTGAATTTGATTTTGAAAATTTTCACTTGATTAAAATTGAAATTTTTAAATTTCACGTGAAAAATTATTCTTAATTTTAAAAAATATTTGAAAAAAACGAAAAACCAAAAATTTTAAAATTCAAACACGTTATAAAAAAAATCAGAAAAAATGAAAAATTTGAAAGAAATCGAAATTTTGTTCATTTAAAAAACTTAATTTAATTTTAAAATCTTAAATTTAAAATTTTAAAAAATAAATTTTGACACTTTCTACTAATCATATTAATTCTCACAGCTACTCAATCTACTTAAGCTACTCAAAACATGCATATTTACACATCACAGACAACTAGCGCCATCTAGTCAAAGTAAAATGAACTAAAATTTCATTTTCATGTCATTTCAACATTTCTACTGGACTTATTATTTGTAAGAACATACCAATCCTCTCTAGAATATCTTTGAAGTCTATATATCACAGATCTAAATACTATAAACCAAATTAAACCATAAACAACACTAAATCCTATTTCTACATAATATCCATCGACTTCAGTCTTGCAAGTTCCACCAATTTCTTTACATGTTATTTTTTGGAAGCTGTCTAAGCATGTGTTATTAGCTAGATGAGTAAAGCTTAGAGTTTCATCGTTGCTGATGTTTTTGATGTAACATTTTCGCCATGTTATCCTGTCCATTAGCCATAGTGACAGTGTTACAAAGGTTCTTTTACCGAGATTTCTGGAAGTAGAGTTGAATATAGTTTTTAAATATGAAATTTGGGAATGAGGGTAATGTTTGACAACTATTTTGATGACTAGCTTGAAATAACTAGATTTGTAGCTTCACTTAACTAGCTTTGTAGCTTAGCTTAAAAACTTAGCTAGCTTAAGAGTTTTTACTCACTAGCTTGGAAGCTTTGCAGCTTTAATTAACCAGCATAGTAGTTTTTACTTACTAGCTTTGTAACTTTGACTTACTAGCTTAGTAGATTTACTTAATTAGCTTTATAGGTTTTCCTATCTAGATTTGTAGGTTTAACCAACTAGCTCGGTAGCTTCGACTTACATACTAGCTTTGTAGCTTTGACTTACTAGCTTTGACCAGCTAGCTTTGACTGATTAGCTTGTCAAAGTCCTTTAAAATACTTCATTTCATAGTTTTTGACTAATACTCACCCAAATGTATTTAATAGAGTCATATATGACCCACCAACAAGAGGATCAGCAATTTTGGAGAAGAATGATCCATCTGATGTGTATGTTGCACGAATGGCTGCCTTAAATTAAAGATTATTGTTAAATTTGAAGTTTAATTAAATTTCTGAATTTATCGAGACAACTCAGATGTTTAATAAGGATTATACCCAATCTAATTGACCCTGAATTTAGGTAGCACCTATAATCCTAGTCAGTAAGGTCTATACATTGCTAGAACTCAATTACTTCAGCAAAACAACCCATCCATAATGCCAAAAGTGAAAATTCCAATTATCTCAACCATCAATATTAGTTCACCCAGCAAGAACACACAAAACCTTATCATCTCATTAATTTATGTCCCAATAATTCCATCACCACATCATAAAAATGTTCATGCACATAATTAAGCACCACACACTCTTTATTTTATGAACTCATGTGATGAACTGGATCACATAAATAGGACACATCATAAAACAGAAGATGTATTGAGTGCAGAAATTAATATGAAGCCTCAAAATAATGAATCAAGGAACAAAACTCAATTACTTGATCAATCATGAACAGCATCACAACTCCAGCATAGAAATAATTAAGGAAATTCACATTTTCGAGTATCATCGGCGTTGATGCGACATAAAATGTTGTAATTATCATTAATGTGAGTCGACATATGAAGACTTTATAGTAAAATGACAGTGGCTTACGTCCTGCTGTATATTTTGTGATTAAAAGTGGAAAAAGTATTTGAATCGGTGCTGATGGAACTGAAATTAATGCAAATTTCTCTTTTGGCACTCCGTACTCGATTAATTTTAGGGATGTTATGGCTTCGAATGCTGCAAAACATGCCTCAATAGAAAATATCATTGTGTAAAGCTCCACGACAGGCTTAAGCTTGATAATCTTATATAATATCTGATAAGCCTTACATATGCCGTAGTCTGAATGCTCTTTTAATTGTTCAGCATTTTCAGGGCATTCATACTTAAACAATGCCAGCAAAATGGTAACAATCATATAAACACATGCCCAGAACATGATAAATCCTGATAATGTAAATAATCCAATGTCCTTCGGCTCACTAAAGATGTAGCTATTGCAGAACTCTTTCGACTCAAATACCAGTAATAAAATGAAACCAATAAATTTTCCTGCCGACTGTCCACAACTATTTGTCGTTGCTGCATATCCAATGTTTCTACGTTTTAGTAATGTTAATCCCCATCCGTCAACAGCGATATCTTGTACTGACGTAAGTAGCCATAATGTGAAAAAGACAGCTGTTAAAATGCCTATTTGTGGTTTCATCGTATCTCCATCGCCGAGCCATTTATCAGCATTGTACGATAGGTAGATCATGAAGCTTCCAATAACAATTTGTGATGAGCAAATCCAAGTTTTACGACGACCGAAGGATTTAATGAATATTGAGTCAATAACCGGCGCCCATAGAAGTTTTACTGCAAGTATTAATTTTTGTTTATTAGAGGAACTTATGTGGGTAGTTGTTGGGGATTATGTTGATTTGGAAATTTTTTTATATAGGTTCAGTTACTGAAATAAAGCTTCTGATGAAGGAATTGAAATTTGAATATTTTTTGACCGTTAAAATTTTCAAATATTTTTTTTCCATTAATTTTCAAAATCACACAAAAAAATCCACAACCAAAACAAAATTAATCCTCACATCCGAATGGAAAATATGAAATTGAAAATTGTGCCTGTTCCGAGTAAGTCGCTCCTCGATTCTGCAACAATATTGGAATAGCTAGCGAAATACCCTGTGGCACTCCCTGTAATAAGTACAACAGCAACAGCAACGCAACATTCTGATAATCTCCACTTAAATTTGAACTTTCACTTTCGACAACTTCGTCATCGCCTTTCGGACTTATCGGTGTGAATTTTTGGTTTCGATTATTTTTCATGTTGATGCAAATGAGACGCTCTCTAAGGCACTGAATTTACTCAAATGATTTTTATCAACTGAAAATGTAAGTCATTTGCAAAAGGAAATAATAAATCGCTGTGATGTACTTGAGTGGTGTCAGTGGATTAAATGGAATTATATTTGAGATTTAGTCAAATAGGAAGCTAGTTGGAAGTTTGAATTATGATAACTGATTGTGTCAATTGTAAATTTTTGAAATTAAACATAAAAAATTGTTGAAAACTGAATTTCTGATAATAACACACATAAAATATCCAAAAAAGGAACAAAAAACAGTTCCCTTCGGTGAGGCTTGAACCAGCGATCGGAGAATTGTATGAAAAATCACAAATTTAAAGTCTGCATAAAAAATAATAATTTTTAAACAAAAAAATATTCAAAAAAGAATTCTGCGATGGCCGGGAATTGAACCCGGATCTACTGCTTGGAAGGCAACAATGCTGACCATTACACCACCATCGCATGTTTTGAGATATATGTACTTTGGCAAATTCTCATTTATGTTCTTGCTATATTCACTGATTATCATGCCAAATCATGCTGATGTTCTTATTTGTTGGAAATGTTCCAGCTTTCATTCTTACTTTTTCTCAGGAATTGATTTTTGAATTATTAAGGGAGATGCTGCAATTTAATTGACAAAAATTGTTATAATTTAATTCATTTTTGTGTGATATTTAAAATATATTCAAAAATCTGGAAAATAATCTAGTAAATTCTGCACACTCTTAAATATAAGCCAATAAACAAAAAATTAGCAAAATTCTTTCAGAAAAAACAATTCAGATAAAATCTATTTTTAACTCCTCTACGATAAATAACGATAATAATTTATTAATAACTCAACGCAGTCCGCCTTCTAGGAAGTCCTCAATGTGCTAATAATCTCACTGAATAACAGAAAATTTACCTTAAAATTATCACATTTTCTCGTCTAGATAAGCGATGAACTCACAAAGTAGATGTGACGTTGTAGATTGCATTATGAATTCTGTAAATATTAACAAGACATGCACACACGCCTGTCAACAAAATAAAATTGAAGCTGGAAATATGAATGAAAATGCAGACAAAAATTTTTATATTTCGAAAATATAACAACAACAATAATCTTTATTTTTATATTTTTTTTAAATTTCAGACATTATAATACTTTTTTGCATTTTTTGTGTTAAAAATAAAAATTTCATTTGATAGTATTAACAAGGTAGAATGTAAGATTAATAATAATAATCAAATATTTCCAAATATAATAAAATTAAATTAATTTTTTGAGAATTTTTTTTTAAGTTTTCTTTTCACACCCAAAATAAGAATTTTTTTCTTTAAAAATCTAATTAAATTCAATAATCTATTATCAATCGTTATGAGGAAGTCTAAGCGTTTGATTGAATTAAGTGTGCAAATTTATCTCAATCTTGATCCGTTGATTCCGATTCTTCAGCAAAACGCAAAATGATTCCATTTAAATTCACTAAACGATAGAAAATTGCTCATTGTTAAGAATCTTGATTGTAAATTAGATCCAAAAAAAAAAACTTTAAATGAGCTCTCAAAAAAATAATATTTTGAAGATTTTCAGTTCATTGATCTTGGTAAGTATGAGAGCTTGTTAAAAGGCATAATTTGATTTTGTTTCTAAATTAGATTCGATAATTAAATTAAATTTTATAAGAAAAGCTAAACAATTTTAATATTGGATAATGATTGATGCTAATGAAGAAGATTTACATAGTCTCAACACGTGGAGGTATAAGAATGAATAATTATTGTAATCGACATCTTATAGGGATTGGATTTGCAAAGAAGAGGTAGATTAGGTGATTATTTGAAGCTGGTACCTGATTGTAATGTCGTGAGCATTATGCGAGTAATTGTCAAATTACTCAACACTTTATAACAATGATTGAGAGAACGGTCTCTAAAGGGAATCGAACCCAAGTCTTCACAAAAGAGGTTTACACAAGAGCTGGCAAACCACTCGCGCCATAGAGACCTAATTCTCGCTCTGGCAGATTCACTTTAATAAAGCTTTATTTTGCTCGGGCACCACACTGATAAAGATATATGGACCATACGTATTAAATAGATCTTTTCGGACTATCCTTAGTCACTGGACTTTTAAAATCTTCTTGGTAATCTCTTGGGTAAGGTGAAGGTAGAATAAAAGGAGATATACACTGAGTAGTCTGCTCTAGAATGAGCAACTATAGTCAACCAGAATTGATAGTGAATCCACATAACCTAAAAGGGTACCTCCACCTATCCGTTGGAATCAAAACAGTCTCAAGATCAAGATAAATCCACAACAAAGAAATATTTTAGGAAACTCTATCAATATTCAATGATTATTTTTCATATTTTTATAAAACTATCATTAATACATTAAACCTGTACTTCTTAAAGTTGCATTCGCTTGACTATCTTTTGTGCTTGTATTCCAGATTAAAAATTATTTGGTATCTACATTATTATATTTTTGTATTTTTATTTTGCAGTTTCAAGAGTTGGTGGACGAATGCTTGGTTCATACTGAATTGTACCAGTTTATCTCATTTTAATCACAAAGTTCCCAACTCTTGTTTTTTTAAAAACTTTTTTTTGATAATTACTCATCTGTTTCGTAAATGTTAAGTCTTCAATCTTATTTTTCACGTTTTTTTTCATTTTTCTGCTCTGTCTAAATGAATTAATTAAATCTGATGATGTGTAAAGTCATATCTGATGGTACTTATTACATATTTTATCGTTATTATAGTACTTAATGCTTACACAATATTAATAATTGTTTCATCTTATTTCTTTATATGGATGGTTTGGTAACACATGAAAATATATTATTTTTGTATAAGTAAATTACACTTCATTAGTCCCAAAATTAGTTTTCAATATTTCATCTTCTTTGCTTTTTCACTAAATTATTCCACAAAAGGTTAAATCTAATTTTAATGGTGATTTCAGTGAGTTCCCATTGATATTTAAATATTTTTTATTTACTAATGTTCACCGTAGAAGATGTCAGAAGTAGAAGAAATATTTTGTTTTTCGAATTTCACATATTGAATTTTCAATTTTCGAAAATTAAAAATCTCATGTTCGAAAGTGAAAATTTCATTTTCGAAATTGAAAAATTCATGTTCGAAAGTGAAAAATCTTAGTTCGAAAGTGAAAAATCTCATTTTCGAAAGTGAAAAATCTCATTTTCGAAAGTGAAAAATCTCATTTTCGAAAGTAAAAAGTTTTATTTTCGAAAGTGAAAAATTTCATTTTTGAAAGTGAAAAATCTCATTTTCGAAAGTAAAATATCTCATTTTCGAAAGTGAAATTTTAATATCGAAAGTGAAAAATCTTATTTTCGAAAATATAAATCTTTCTTATTTTAATTGAAAATCAGTTATTGAAACCCAAATCCGCCTAAATCTAAGCATAAGTAGACTTAAGAGAAAGATCTTGAAACTCTACATAACCAGACTCATCACTCAATTCATCAGAATCATCATCAATTTTCACTTTCCTCAATGACACTCCATTGTTGATGTTATCAGCTCTTGTAAGCGTTCCACCTCTTGTAATTTTAATGGAATTATTTTCAGGCGGTGATAGAATAAATGTCGTTGATGGAGGAGAACCATTTGATAAGCTACGATGGAAGACTTTACCCGATGCATGCTTCTCATCCTTTTTTGTCACTTTTGGTTCAGACATTCGCTCAAATGTCCTCACACGATCCAAAACACTTCCACGACGTGGTATTTGATTCTCCTCAGCATTTGTCGTGACCGTACTTGATGTTTCACAGCCACTCGATATTGATGAACCTTCGTCACTGTCTAAATTAACACAAATTGTCTTCTCACTCATACACAATGATGATGGCGATTCCGATGTTAAATCATCATCAAATAATTCCATATGTGTTGGATGATGTTTATACATGTAATGATGATGTAGATGATGATGGTGATGATGGGTCGGTTCCAATCTATAATCACAATTCTCATCATTTGTCGTTTCAAAATCATCGTCAGTTTGTTTATTCGCCGTATCATGAATAAACGTCTGATGACTGTTTGACTGATTTTCATCATCATCATCATCGTCAATATTCACGACCGTTTTTGTCGATTGACGTCGCAATGTATCGAGAACGGAATCTTGATTAAAATAAATATCACTTTCATTATCTTCCAATTCATTATCAGATTGATAGTCAATCAAATCTGACATACTCATGCATGTGCGTTGATTCCTCAGTGATAAATCGTCATTGAGTAAATCTGACATGCTTGCTGTCGCTGTTGTTGTCAACATTGGATTTGTTGTTGTTACGGCTGTGCTTGTGGGTGCTTGTAATTTCATTTCAAAATATGACATTAAGTCACTTGTTAGAGGTTCTTTGGAATCGTAATTGTTACATAAAAGGAAACTCTCGAAATCCTCATCGGAACCGAGTGGACGACTATTAACTGGAGTATCTTGTTGAACGATTACTGTCTCTATTATTGACTCGTTGTTCTGCTCTTGAGTTTTGGTAATGTCACTTTCATTAATCAACTTCCTCTCATCATTCTGATTAATTCTATTTGATGAGACGGCATTATAAGATGGCTTGTATGTTGGTGGATATGATTTTTGTTGTGTGAAAATTGTCCCACGCAGTAATCGAGACTTTCTTATAGAATGTCCACGACGACATCTTCTTCTACCCAGTGTTACTGATGGATATAAATGATCTTCTTTACAGCACGACTTCATCTCTTCGCGCTTCTTTTTCTCTTCTAATTTCTTTGCCTTTGTCTCATCGTTTGATTCTTCTTCGTCCTCCTCATCAACCATTTCTTCAATTGCAAAGAGTTTTGGTGCTGATTTTGAGCGCTCTAATGGTGGTCGATAATTATTTGCTCCAGTGCTTAATAAAATCTTTCGTCTTGGCATTGAGGGATTTTCGTCTGCCGCATTCGCTAAGCTTAAACGTGCGTTCTGTTTATTGATTTTATCTCTTTTAAATTCACGAAGCGCAACTGCCAAATTTTGCTACAATGAGAATCGAAATGAAAGAAAAGAATTTATGAGGTTAATAAATTACGGATAGATTTCAATGGCAATTATTTTTTAAGGGGACTTTTATGATGATTTTGGCAGATTTATGGATGCACTTAAATTTTAAAATTTAAAAAAAATATTAGAAAATTGCCGGTAAAAAAACATTTGAAAAAATAACGGTCAAAAAGTATTTGAAAATTTTGGCTATCGAAATCAAGGGCATGAAACTGATAAAATAATCCAAAATGATCAAAAATTATCAAAAAATCATCAACAATGATCAAAATTTATTTAAAATTTTGATTTCCCGCCCAAAATCCCACAAAACTTCCCCAAGAGCACAGCAATAATTTGAAAATAAGATGAGCTTATTTAAAACCCAATAAATTACCTTCAATTGACTGGCAATCTCCTCACATAAAGCTTCTCTTGAACAAATCACAGCATGACAACGTAATTCATGCTTCAATTTTCTTCCCTCATGTCGATAAATCCAGCAAAAAATCTTTGGATAAGATCTCGGTGCCGAACAAAATGTTACTCGATGTGACCAATATTCAGTGAGTCCATGTTGCTTTGTTGTTGCTTTCAGTCCCGATGGACACACTCGCAATCGCATCAATACTTCCGGTTTGTTGTTCTGTGTGTAATTTCGCCATAATGTCGCCAATGGTTTTTCAATGCAGGCATCACCTGAAGAGGGAGAAAATAAATTAAAAGAAAAATGTTAGTCGTTATGGTTTTTTGTGTACATTTTTAAGTCGTTCTTGTGGCTTGCTGTTTTCAGTGTTGTTAATTACACATGGAATAAATGAGTATTGAGCAAAAGTTAACAATATCCAGAAGTTGTAGTCAAGTATGTCCAACTTTCAGTGCAATGTCTTTACGTTTCACTAATTAACCTAAATTATCGGCATGAGTACAAAACTTTTTCTTTGTTCTTTTCATGATTATCGCTTTATTATTATAGTGAATTGCTTTTAAGCACTGCTTTTCCTGCTGGTCGAGTGACTGACAGAATCGTTTATGAGCTGAAAATAAGGCGATATTGATGCTTCCTTTTTTCAGTTTCGCATTTAAATTAATTAAGTGTTTAATTAGTGAAATTAGATTGGAATTTGTTGAGTTTTTCCTACATTTACGTTATATTGGATTTGTAATTTTTTTATGGAACTGTTTTCTCACATCGAGTTTTTGAGTGGCTTCATTTTGATGGATAAGACATTAGCAATAAAATTGATTGGTTTGTTTTATGCAAAAACTGTGAGCAAACAAGAAAATTTAAAATTTAAAATTTATTACCAATAAAATCACTCAAAAATTGCAAGAATGCACATCATAAAAAATTCAAATTTAAAGAGTCGTTAAAAATTCAAATTAAGAAAAGTCATTAAAATCTAATACTCAAAGTAAAAATATCCATAAATGCACTTAATTATCCATTTTGTCAAACCTTTCCAACTCATTTCCTTTCCAATTCTTCCGTGCAATTAAACACAGACTTTCAGTTCTGTTCTATGTTTTCCATGTCATTAAACGAGACCTGTCCATTTAACCCTTTTCCATGTCGTGCTTTTAATCTTTTAATTTTCTTGCTCACAGCAAATAAATGCAGCTATAATGTTCAATAAACTTCTTTTTTATCGTAAGCCTCAAGTTTCACATTAGTCGTAATGATCTAATCGTAATTAAGTAGTGGAATTTATAATTATTTTCAATGTGCTCGTGCGAATTATCACATCAGTGAAATAAATTACTAGATAGATGTAATAGTAGATAAGTTCAACTGTCGGGTTCAATTGAAATTAACCGAAAAGTCACAATGTATTGAACTTTTATAAAAACACGTGCCGCAATTAAAGTGTGGCTTTCTAAAACCTTCAAACACGAGAAAAATAATCTTCACGAAACTATTTAAATTGCAATTGATTTTAAAAAGTACATTTTTGTACCATTCAGCTATGTCGTCTAGTTATTGCTCTTGACATCGAAAATATTTATATTTTTTTTTTTTTTTCTCAAGGAAAACTTCTAAAGTCAAACCAGCAATGCGAGCAAGTACGAGTAGTATAAAAGTTTTGCTACAAAACGATCAATTTGTTAGATTAACGTCATGTTATAATAGATTATACAAAAATTTGTCTCAACTTGAGAGTTTTGTGTAGATTTTTATTGAATTTTTATCGGACAAATTGTGGTTATGAAGACTTTTTCACTGTTTGCATTTCAAAAGGAGAAATGAGATTGAAATCAAGGTGATTTGTTGAATGAGGATTATTGTGGTCGATTTCTGCCATATTTTTCAATGTTGATTAGTAGGCTTGAAGATAATTTGTAAGACTAAATGGATTTAAATTGAGAAAAACTTTTTGAGGTGGAGGATTTTATTTATATTTTCTTAAATTGAATATTTTGATGCAAATAAAAAACTTTTCAAGTTCATATGCAATGAATCTGTATTGTATAATTAAAGCTCAAAATCGTAAAAATATTGTTTTATTTACATATTTTTTTGTCTGACTTTCCCCTTTATATTTCAGGGTAGCATCAACCTATCAAAATATTTTAATGATCAAAATTCAAATCTTAAAATTACGTTACAATCTTAATAATCATATTATTCACTTTAATCACTTAGATTAGCTTCATTATTCACAATTTATCAACATTTTCTGCGTAGATCGTTAATTTAAATATCAAAGAACCGTTAACATTCCAAAAATATATAAATTTATGCATGAAAAATAATTCTCTCCTTTATAATTTATTAAGCGCCACAACAATCAGCCAACGCAATTTATTTAGCATATTTTTTCAATATAAAATTTGAATATTGAACATCGCTCTAATGGAATGTCTAGAACCGATGCTAAAAATATATTTCATAGAAGGAGAAGAATCACGTAATGTTGTATTCATGACGCGTTTGATTGGACAATATGAGGGGGGGATCATTTTTCAGCCAATTATGGCTATAAATTATTGGCTCCATAATCCTATTATACAAGCTAAAAATATCAGTTCTGAGTGACATCATTTAAGAACAACCCCGAAGGTAATAAAAGAATAAGAATTTACACAACAACAGTAATAATCCCGTAGAGACATCGTACGAATTGTGAATAAATTAGCAATTTAGTGTTAAAAAGGTACTCATATAAAGGAAAATGTACACACGTCGCGCTAATATTTATTAATTACAGTAAACGGTTGACTGTCTTGAAGCTTTTTTGACTCTAAATTGAGCTATATTCATCATTGCATCATATTATTTGAATATCAATCCAATTAATTAGGTGCGATTTTTCGCATGTTCAAATTGATTCTTAGACATTTTTGTAAATCTAATCTTTAAGGGCAACGCACTGGAGAACCAATAAAAAATATAAGGGGCTGTTCACTTATTACGTAACGCGAAAAAATGACTTTTTAGACCCCCCCCCCCCCCCTCGTAACAAAATTTGTATGAAAAAAAAATTTCTTTGTTTGAACCGTAACAAAATCTTAGACCCCCCCTCCCCCCTAAAAGCGTTACGTAATAAGTGAATGGCCCCTAATTTAAAAGATTTTTTTTTTCTGTTCTGTAATCTACTCAGCACTCCCAGGTGATTTTTATGAAATTTGATGAGATTTTTGTTATGTTCTTGGTAAGCTTACAGCCTACGGTAATAGCAATCATATTGTAGATGAAATATGAGCAATTTCATCAGCTTTAACTTGATTTAATTTAATCTAGTTGAGTTTATCGGAGATTTTCGGGGAATATAAACAATATTTTGTAAGAATTTGTTGATTTTCTGTGGATCGGTGTGGAATGTGAAATAATGTTTCATGAGAACAGGAGAAATTTTGGAGAAATTATGAAATTAAAATCTTTAATTTCAATTTTTTTCTTTTAATGAGCTTGAAATTTTATTTGTTTTTGAAATTTTAAAATCAATTTTTTTCTAAATTTGAATTTTAAATTCTTAAATTTTTTAAATTTTGTTAAAATTTTGAAATTTTAACTTCTAAAAATTTTGAATTTTAAACTTCTTAAAATTTTGAATTTTAAACACCTTTAAATTTTGGATTTTAAACTTTTTAGATATTTGAAACTTAATTTTAAACTTTTTTTTGTATATTGGAATTGTATATTTTTTTTAAAAATTTTAAAACTTAATTTTTTTGAATTTTGGAATTAAAATGTTTTTAAATGCTAAAGCTTTTAAAAAAACTTAGACTTTAAAATTTAAATTTCTTGAAAATTTGAAATTTAAATTCTTTTGAAACAAAATTTTCTTGAATTTTTCAAAATCTAAGTTCAAATATCGAGTATCAAATCTCAACAATTTATCAAAAATAATAACAAAAGCCAATTAACCCTCAGATTAAGTTTCTTTCAGAATAAAAGTTGCCTGATGTCAACAAGCAATTAAGAAATAATAATAATCATTATATCTTATTTTTGTATATTTTGTGACGTCTATAAAAGTAAATAAAATTAATGGATAAAATAAATAAATAAGAGAGAGGAAGAAATAAGTCAAAAAGTCACCTTGAATGAGATGACCATAGTGTATTTTGGCGATTGAATAAGTTTTTAACATTTTTAATACAAAGCTAATGACTTGATAATAATCTTTTTTTGCGGTACTTGAGTAAAATTACACAAGTGATCTATGACACCGGTGGGTCTTTTGAAGAGGTTTGCCGAATTTTTTCAAATAATCATTTGTGTGGTTTGCGGTTTTTTTTTTTGATAAAGAAGTGGTGAATGTCTGATAAGATGAAGATTGTGACAAAACTGCTTATTTTTAGAATGTTTCAAGGTTTTATTTGCTTAATCATCAAAAATTATTGAAAATTGATTTTACAGCGTCACACATCTTCGAAACCCTTCCTCGAACCAACATACCATCAAATGAATCTGTTGTATAGGATAGACAGAATAATTCTGCAGAATTTTGCTCAACAGTTGCGCAACAATTCTGCAGAATTATTCTGATAAATTCTGCAGAATAATTCTGATGACAACAGAATAATTTAGAAGATTAATTCTGATGAATGTTGCGTGACATGGATGTAGCAAAAAAAAATCAACCAGAATAATTCTGAAGAACTTATTTTTATTCTGATGAATTATTCTCCAAATTTTTTTTTCAGAATTTCACAAAACAAATCAGAAACATTTTTTTCCAAATTCTGCATAATTAAAAGTTCTGATAAATAACTTATGAGAATGTGATTATAGATTTACACTTTACTTTCACTAAAGTGGATTATCCTCGATTTCGGAATATCTACTTCAGTTTTTTGGAAATATCTCTAGAAGCTTAAAGCTTTTAAGAGATCTAATGTGTGATCTAGTAAGAGTACTTTGCCACTTAAATTAACATATACTTAGAATTTTTATATCTTCATTAGTTTGAGAATTAAAACAAAAATCGAAGTTAATCGGTTATAAAAGGTCCCAGAAGAAAAGTTTGAGCCTGATTTTACATCTTCTGCAAAAAACAGATTTCAAACTGGTTACGGCATTGCTGAGAAAATCGCAAAATACGCTTTCTGTAAGCAAACAAGCAAGCAAGTTAATCAGCAAGAAATCTCAATAACGAGATATCGTAGAGACTTCTAGTTTTTTACATTTGATCCATGCTGCTCTATAGAAGAGCTGTATTGTTTTTGGGCAAGGTAGGAACAGCCGTTGCTTC